AATTATCATGGAGCAGTTGGTTTTCACATCCACCCATCTTGAGAATACTTTCTTGTGCATGAGGCATTTTAACTGACCAACACAGTGAAGTTGTAGCATGAATGGTGGAAACCACCACATTACTATTTTAGTCTCTGATAAGCCAGAAGGAAGGAACAGAAGACGAACACTCAGACAGTGTGGGTGTATGTGTGCGACTGGATATTTGTGTGGGTGTATGTGTGAAAGAACAAGAGATATACTACAAGAGATATACTAACATGCTTGATTATCTTTTCATTTCACTAATTTTGCCACTTTATTCAGGACTATGCAAGAAAGAGCTGCCTGAATAAGATAATTAACGCGCAAGTTAGCCTGTAAGAGTAAAGAATACACAAAAAAGGTCTTGTTTGAGAGTATCCACAAAGCTGTGAACAGCTCTAGCAATAATCACAGACTTTATCTTGAAGGTGAAGGAACTAGGAGAACATCTTCCTACAGCAGCTGGTAATATCCTAGCTCTGCTGGTTAATTTGGAAGTGACTGCTGTGGTCAGATCACTGAATTTAGATGGATCTGACAGTGTAAGTTTCTACATGTAATAATTATTTTTAACTTATTTCAGTGCACATATTGAGAATAGACTATCAGGGCTTGAACCTGCCAGAAGAGTTTTTGAAAGTATCATCATACAGATTCCAAGTTTCCATGCAGGGAAGGACATCTGGTATATAAATAAGCGTTTTTGTGGAAGATACAAGATAGGAAATGGTCTTAGCAATAGCAATCTCTGCCAAGAAGGTCTCTATTTTTAAGGGATCCAAGCTGTGACTGGGAAGGAAGTGAGAAACTTGATCAGTATTTGCTGTCCTCTTCCTGCTTGAAGGGAACTGAGACAGAGCTCTTAATCGTGAGTCAGGCACCAGCAGTAGGAGTTTGCAAACTAAGCCTTTCTGATCTTAATCAATAGCCTGACAGTTCAGAGAGCGAGCAGCTATTTCTGCTACTGGAGGAGGACTTTGCAAAGTGCTTATGAGGGCTGCTAACAGCTAATTTACAAACTGTGGATTTCTTATTTAGATTGCTGTACTATAACATCCGTTCACGTGTCTGTCTTATCCAGTACCGAACACAACGGGCATAAAAACAGTGACTGAGCTGCAGTAGAGTTCAGAGGAAGAGCCTTGAGATAGGCTCTGCTTGAATGAAGGCCTCACAAGGGCACTGAACAGTGTGGAAACCTTCTTCTGCATGGTAGGGAGGATTTGCCCGTGGACCTCGTCCTTTATCTGCAGATAGTTTCAACTATCTCAGCCCGTCGGACAGACGTTAGAAAGCAATTGGATGAGAGCAATGTTTACCCCTGAAAGCAGATACTACGGGCTCTTTTCAGGTTCCAAAGGCCTTCAGAATATATACTTTTTTTTGCCAGATATTACTCTTTCTGTGTTTGTTTATGGAGTAAGGACAGGGAGGGATGGCAGGCCATTTCTTTCCCGAGTTCCTGGCCTTTTACCAGTGAGTTCCTTTATCAGTGCTCTGCCAAAAATGCAGGCCTGGAGCAGAGCGTGAGTTCTCCCTGGCACTCCCGATCAGGACAAGAAGGTGACGAATAGGTATTGGTGACACTTGTTGTCACGTACAGTCTTTTATTGCTTTTATTCTATTACCAGTAATTGAAAGGTCAGCCAAATTTTTCTTAGACAATTAAGTGACATTTACAGATAGGAGATTGCAAGGAGCCAGAGATGCTTTTCCAAAAGCTGCTGCAAATGCAGTGCCCAGCTATTCTGATGACACTACAGCCAAGGTGTAAAACACCAGTGAGCATATTTTTAAGAATCGTGCCATACATGGTACACTGAGAAAAGCAAATACTGAGATACTGGCCCAGGAATCTCAAGGTGCACATTTTATCTTGGCAGGCGTTTGTTCACACAGCCCGTCAGACAAAGCGCAATTGTCTTGAAGACTAAAGGATCACTCTTAATATAAGGTTATGTCTGGAAATGGAAAATACAAATGACAGTAGGACTGCCCATGTAGGAAATCTGGGGCAGAGTAGGGACAGAGTAGGTTCCACTATGTTGATGACTGAGAACTGAAGTGTCAAGGCTCACGCACCGAGTGCTTGGCTCATACGGCTGCCTCCTACCCTCTCCTTATCTTCTGAGGAGTGGGAGAGGTGCGTCTCGTCCCTGGTCGAGAGGCTGGCGTTGAGGAAAAGGTTGGGGTGCAAACTGCAAGGGGTCCTTTCCACTTTCAGTGGCAGTGTGGTACCAGGACCTTCCCTCTCACCTCCAGATGAACAATCTTGTGAGGCGGCAGCAGCAAGCCTGCTCACTGGGAAAGGGTCCCCATAGCGGTTCCTAGCCCAGCGCGCCGGGATTGCATCCCAGCACATGACAGACCATCGTGTTGTTTCATGCACTCGTAAAGAAAACACTTGAGTGACCTGTTGTTTGCTTGAATATTTATACTGTGAATCAGATTGCAGGATCTGTTACAGCTCGTTCCCTTAGATAAAAGTGATCTAAATCCAGCACTCAGTTGGGCGGCAGAGGACTGCTTGAGGGTGGTTTTGGCTGTTTACAGCTACTACAGGCTCCTCAAGGAGCATGAGTAGAGAAAAATGGATGTGGTTAGAACATCCCTTCATCCTGGTGTCCCCTGAGGACAGACAGATTTATTGGCATTAGTGGCGCCTGCACAATTAAAGTGGCCTTCTGGAAGTGCTCCTCTGGAGGAAGAGCTTCCTACAATTGTAACGTGTACCCCTCTGCATTTCAGTGACTCTGACTTCAAAGCAAGGTGGTCAGAAATACTCCTATAAATATCTGACAAAGAGAGAGGATACAAATTTCTGTTGTTGAATCAACTCTGAAACAGCAGCTGCATTATTCATGTGTGGATCGTGGTTTGGTGTTCCAGCTCAAGGGAATGAATAGCCAGAAAGGGAAAGGGGAATTAACAAACTCATTTGGGTTCTCAGTTATGTGCTGCTTTAGCTGGTTCCTACTATGGGCTGTAATTTGAGGGTTTTGAGGGCTTTGTAAAGTGCCTTTTTTTTAATTTAAACTGAAAAAGTTTGAACTTAAGATGAACCTAAATCTCATACCAGAAAACCTCACCCTGAAGGGAAGTGCATGCCTGGATCTGAACTAGAGCATTCCTGTAAACAGGAATGTGTGCCTTGTGGTGACTCTTCAGCCTTACCAGTTCACACCAAGCAATGACGTGGGATCATATCCCTGAGAAAATACAGATGGCGTGCCCCAAATTATTGTAAGGGTAGTTCCAAATGTGTTATTTACTGGACAGCATCTGGTAGAAGAAGTCACCCTCACGCTGTGTATGGCTCTTGGAATGGTCCAGCAACACAGCAATTAACAGAGGTAGGAAGTGCTCCACGTGAAGTGGTTTTTTTTCACAACACCATTTCTGATGGCTGCTGTTGTTGCCCAGGCTTAGGAAAGATACTACTTCAGCAGAAAATGGAGATAGATAATGGAATGCTTTATGCCAAAAGTGAATGTAGAGTAGGAGCTACAATGGATGGAAAGTGGAGTCAGCAGCCTGAGATAACACGAGTGGTCGGCAGGACAGGGAGCAGCCTGGGATCGCAGTCGAGCTCTGCTGATGGGAATGCGTGCTTTAACTTAGAACAGTGTTAATTGGCTTTTACTGCTATTTCAGTACAATTTGCAATAGACACAGTATGGTTCTGTCTTTAAAAAGATGCATGTGTTGTGAGGTGCTTATGCTCAATGTCAGATTGTTGGATGTTTTAAGAGAAAGGATGATGTTAGGGAAGTTGTACAAATGCATTCAGATACTCCGTCTCTTACGCCTGGAGTAGTGGAAGTTTCTCCATGACATGGAGCCCCTTCCCTTGTAACACTGTGGGAGGGTTTGGAGTTTCATAGTAACTGCCCAGAGTTAAGTCCATCTAGTCAAGCTTACGCAGTATCACAAGGTGCTGTTTTCCTTGCATGCTTTTGCTCAAGCTTAAAGGCCCAGCCAGTATGTCAGTCATCATATAGTTGCAATGCCCAGCACAGGAGGGGAACAAATGAAAGCAGGGCACCATCACTGGTAAGGTGTGTGGAGGTGGGGTCTCCTCACATGGTCCCATCAAAAAATCAACCCTGGATGGCAGAAGGCAGCAGAAAAGCAAGCATATCCCAAAATGACCCAGCTCCTTAACAACCTTTCCCTAAAATCTGGTGACCAGAATAACCTTGGACCTTTAAGCAAGGCATGTCATCAGGTCAACCAAGGATATTCTTTGTGTCACAAGAGAGGACGTTGAGCTTCTGCCTCCAGTGCTTTGGAGGAAGGTAGAACACCCCCAGCGATGGAAGCTGACTGACAAACCTAGGTGGAAAAATCCTCTTACATTTACCGGTAACCAGCTGATGCTGCAAGGCATGAAATCTGATTATAATTATTGTCTTAGGGTAAAGCTGCACCTTTTATGAGCATGTCCCATTATGGAAGTGAATCTGAACCTCTCTCAAATCATTTCAGGGGCCCTGGGGAGACCAAGATGATTTGAGTCACACCTTTCTCCGCCTTCACGTGCGTACAAGCAAAGACTCTCACAAACCCTGGATCAGAGCACACACCCTAGAAAGATACTGAATCTTGCCATATAGGTGCCAGAACATGCAACACCATTATTCTTTCTCGTCATCTCTGGGTTTTATTCATCTTGCTTCAAGGAAATAGTGTCTTAATTCAAGGTAGAGATTATTAGTTTCTAAATAGTATGTTATTGTGTTTTGCTACTTTGTATGAGGTTGAATCATTCACATTACTGAATTTTTCTAGATATCTATCGAGTTATCATGCTCCCAAACCTTTCCCTTGATAAGCTGAAGAACTTGAGTCTTTTATGCCTCCTATCATGATACCCATTTCCCCGGACCTGGGAATCTGTGTTTAAACTTTCCCAGGTGTTTTTTAAAAACCATTAGTGGGTTAACCACATTTAAAAATATTTAAATATTTCTTGAGACATTTCTCAGTAACCAGTTCAAGCTGTGATTAAAACAGAAATGAAAAACCTGGGCTGACTATAGCTCATTAAGCCTGTATTTCCTTTTAAAATAAAGTACACCCATTATTCTTAAATGTAAAAAAAGGTTGGGACTTTCTACAATTTCAATTACCGCATGTGTGTTAGACATGCATATATATGCATGTATACATATATGCATAAAAGAAAAAGAGAGCACACATAAAGCTCACTTGCTATGGTAACTGCTGTTGTGGAAGGCAATAATGGTCAGCTAGCCGTGAAAAGCATGGGAGATAACACACTCTTAATACTGTTCATTTTTAGATGTGCTCAGAATGAGGCTCCTATTTTGACACTTTCTTCTGAAATATGAAGTATTAGGCATTATCAGAGCCAGGATACAGGGCTAGATGGACTTTTAACTGCCTGCTGTTGTGATTCTTATCTTCCTCTATGGGGTGAATTAGAATTCTTTGGATCAATGAATGTACACAGTCTTTTCTTGTATCAGAATAACATTACACATCCTCTTGTCATTATAACACACCAGAAGATTATTTTCAATGATAATGACAAGACCACGTCAATCACAGGACTTTTATAGTGGGAATTTGCTTCTTATTACATCTTTCACGTGGCAAATTTCCCCTTTTTTCTTCTTGAATTGCCACTCAGAAGTTGGTAGCAAAATGTTCAGAATTTAAAAAAAAGAAAACCGTTCACTTCTGCTCCCACCAATGCTCTGAGTTATACAGCATTAACTTCTGTGCATCCATGATTACAAAATGGCATAGGCAGAGGCTACATTTTGTTCTGCTTAAATATCTGTACAGATCACAGCTTTTCCCTGATAGACACTATTGTTGGAAAACATTAGTATGCGCTACCTGTATTTTTCCGTGTTCAAAGGAAGCAATCACAGAGCACTTCATTTATTTTACTAAGAGCTCAGTAAATGCTGCTCTGTTGCCATTCTGCAAAGAATGTATTTTCATGTAGAGGCATTATCATTAACAGATTCTTTTCAAATTCCAGGAAGAGTGTGGTATTTTTATTTGGCATAATGAAGTCTGAGCACTTATAAAATTTGATTGTTTTAAGGCCTTTAATTTCCTCCACACTTTGGTTTTTTAGTTAATTAAATTCACTGGAAATCTCTTCCGTGTAGACAAGCTATTTTAGGCCCAATGTTAGATCTTGGGCTCAGTGTGTAACTGATGAAGACACTGACTATTGGTGTTCACAAGATCTGAAAAACGTAGAAATGGATTACAGAAGATGCCAACGGTAAAACAACTGCCCCAGGAAGTTAACTTATAAAGAGCAAAGATTTAGCTCCAATGTTGATGGAGCAACTAACTTGAGGTGGCTGAAGGTAGGCAATCTGGATCCTCTTAGTGTCTTTGGAGTGTAAGGAGCATTTTCAGCTACATCTCAGACACTGCCATGGATTTAGAGGTCAATCTCACTCTGAAATTTTAGCAAGTTTGGAAAATTCACATTTTCCAATACGAGGGAAAGGAGCATAAGGCTTCCTGAAAGTCAGTAGGATTTAGGTTCCTAAGTTGGGAAGATGCTTTAGAAATGGAGCTGGTTATCACCTCGATTTGGCATGTTTTCTTTATCTTTGTTTTGGTCATTCTGTGCATTTTTGCTTGGGACTAATTGTCCTTCTAATAAATAACCAATTTAAAATTCATTATAATTGATTAGTCTCTTCTAAGTCTTCAGTTTTCAGACTTTGCTAATCTGTAAACTTCCCAAGAAGAATGGTGTCATAACTGCAATGTTCTGCACCTTGACATTAAGTGTATATTTCACTCACAGCCAATTTAAAAAATCAAAATAGAAAATGTATAATAATCTCCCTTTACAGTTTGGGTTATGAGAAGCTGAGAATTCCCTTAGGCTTGATTGATAAAACATGGCATTTATCCTATTCCTAGGATGATGTTCAGCAAACTTTATGACAGAGGGAAACAGCTGGTAAAGTGGGTTCATGGAAAGGTGAAGGTAATATAGACATAAAAAACAAGAGGATAATGATTTTAAAAGGGATAATAGTTGTAATAACACCATTAACCTTTTGCTTCAAATTATTGAATGTGTGGTCTCTTCAGCAGGCTAATCAAAGGTTTGCATTAACTGCAATGCAAGAGGAAGTGGCAATATACAACCCGAGGTGATTTTTTTCCCTCTTCCAATTATTCCCTATCAAACCCTTAGGGAAAAAAAAAAAAAAAGAAGAAAGCAAAAGCGACCCTTTGGCTGTTGAAGACCCCTTCCAATTTCTAAATGCAGCTGACTTGCTTTCAGAAGAAACAAACTCCTGCTCTCTTCCTGCTTTGTAAGACATGGATTTTGCAAGGGAAAAAATAAAT